GTATTGCTGCCGGTTTCGCCCCTCCCCCTGCTTTCAACAACGCTCGTTTGAAGGTGTCGACAAATCTTTCTGCCTGACCGTTGGATTGAGGGTGATAAGGTGGCGTCCGCACGTGTTGTATACCGTTTCTCTTGCAAAATTCCTGGAACACTTGTGAGGTGAACTGACTGCCATTGTCAGAAACGATGATTTCTGGTATATCGTGACATGCGAAGATCTTTTCCAGGACTGATACTGTTCTGCTGCTAGAAGGTGGTGTCACTTGTACTACCTCCGGCCATTTTGAATAAGAGTCCACGAGAACCAAGTAGTATATACCTTCTATCAGCCCAGCAAAATCCACATGTAGGCGGAACCATGGTTTTGACGTAGGCCATGCTCTCGGTGGCGGATCTTTGGCTGCCATGACAGACATCACTTTCATTTTTTGAGCAGAGCCTATCTTACTGCAGCTAACAGTTGCTACTTTGTTGCTACCAGACATCGAAGCACTTTTGGCGCAGCCATACTCACTATGACGATTCGAAGTTGGTTTTTCATTAATGACGTCATTCTTTATAATGGGTTAAGGTCTAATATGTCTGTCTCTTATTTCTGGCTTCCTTGTTGAGGGCTCAATACTTTTGATCTTATGGCATACACTACTTAACGGAATCTCTGACAGGTGCAGCTTCTCGAACCAGTCTAAACCCAAGAGGTCAAGGTTTGAATTATTGATGTAGCATGTGCCGACGAAATGACTATCACGAAAACCAACGCTGCATTTAATTGCTCCATTCAATCGAAGTCTTCCACCACATGCACTAATTGCTATCTGATTTGTCTTCTCTATGGCAGGGCATCCCAACTTCTGCCATAATTTCTTTGATATTATTGTAATATCGGATGCTGTGTCGATTTGTAGGCGTGCCGGCCGTGTATTAATCGTCAGATCGATATGTTTGCGAGGTACCGGAGTACTAATATGATATGCGGCAGTAACACCCAAAGACTTAGGCTTGTTGCGCCGTCTGGGTCGACTATGAGATCTGGGTCGGTTGTTGCGTTTGCAGTAGCCATCTTTGTGACCAACAGTATGGCATTGACGGCATTTATGCTGTTTGAATGGGCACAAGTTTGCAAAATGCCAGGAGCCACAGTGCCAGCAGGCTGATGGTGGTTTATGCTGAGGATGACGCGGTGCGGTTGATTTCGACGGTACTGGATGCACCGCATGCACTTCTGCTGCATTTTGGCTGCCAGGCTGCACCAAGGCGGTATCGTTATGAATGTTGATTAAGCGCTGATATTCTTCACCGACGTCTTTCAAAGTCATTCGTGGATCTTGTTCTAGACGATTTAATAGGCGTGTGCGTATATCAGCGAATTTGGAAGACTGCAAACCACAAATAAAAATCAATACCTTGAACTGGTCTTCTGAAAGCGATTTCAATTTGAAACGTTCACACGTAAGATTGACTATACCCAACTGAGTATGGATATCATCACTTTCGTTCAGAACTATATATACTAGTTTCATGTTGACGAAGGCGTGTCTCGCCTTTCCCATTCTCATTGGCTTTGACATCTTTGTCCGTTCCGCTGGCCTGTAGTTGAAACGATGCTTCTCAGATAAGTGAAGGAGGCAACCTCTGTTAAATCTCTCCCGTTGATAGTGATTGGTGCTGGTTGTTGTTCCTGTTTGTTGGTTATCTTCACCACTTCCGTCTTCTCTGTATTCACCTGCAATCCTGCCTTCGCTGCCAGCCTCTTCACCCACTTTGTTGGTTTTCGCCTGCCTGCCTGCCTGTAAGTCTTCGAGTTTGTGTGACATTAGACATATATCATCCGCGAAAACCAAATCTTCTAAAGTCTTCTTATCGGTCGTCCAGCTCATTCCCGACTCCTCGCTCCCAACAGTCTGACGCATAATCCAGTCCACCACAATTAAGAATATCATTGGTGATAATAGGCAGCCAGCCAGACTTGTTTCACTCCAGTGTGCACTTCAAACGTCTCGCTGACACGTGGCATTGTCATATAGCCAGCCAGCTTTTGAATGAGGCTGACAAAGACTTGAGGTACGCCAAAGTGTTGAGGCAGTTTCCATATTACTTCTCGGTCAACGGTGTCTGTCAAATGCCTTTTCAAGGTCGATGAAGTTGAGGGAGAGAGAGGTTTGACTGCCATTCCATGCTTTGTTCTGTGACAACGATGCGTCGACTAGCAATTATATCAGCACATCATTCGCCTTTCCTGAATCCATCTTGTTCCTTTGGATGGAGTCCTGTATCCTTTGCATTCTTTATTCTATCCAGGATGATGCGACGTAATATATTAATTGGCGGGTATAAGAGCATTATTCTACGCCAGTTCTTGCACAGGCCTAAGTCACCCTTTATTTGGCAGTTTGGCAAGGTAAGATTCATTACACTTGTTAAGTTGTCTTCATCAGCCAACATCAGCTGTAGTCATCACTGAAAACCAGGGATCACTGGACCGTCTAGTGTTTCGACCGATCTTCCTAAAAACCTTCAGTGGTATGCACCCATGACACCGTTAAGGATCGAGACCGGGGTCTTTAGGTTACGAAACTAAGTTTGTTGACCATTTAACAACTTGGCGTGGAATTCAATAACCCCGGGATTCTCACTCTGTCAACTCGCTACATAGTGCAGTTCTCACATGTAAATTCAATGAACATCCATTTCATCTTAACACTGTGGACCCCATGCTGGATCACGACTTCCATATGCAGCTCAAGGAAACCCATTCAGTAACCATCAATGACTGAGTGTTTGCTGTTGAGGAACCTCATATACGACGAAACAGATGTCAGGTGCTCAGTGGTTTTCAGTTATCTCTCTAGCTGATGTCGGTTCGTGATGAAAATCCTTTTTCTTCTGTATTTCTACTCCCTTACCTGCCTGGTGGGCATATGGATTCAGGCTGCGGCTTCCAAAGTCTTGTATTTACGAGCTGGAGCTGCTATTCTCATATTTGACCTACATTATTCACCAGCTTGACGAGGTTTGAGAGTGTATCGGCCGGCGGTCGAACCGTGGACCACATAAGACGTGGTTGGCGAGTGTTCTATCACTGAAACACTAACGCACTGATGGAAATCTAACAATTGTCATTTAAGTTCTGTTTTGTGTTAGATAGTTGGAGGCAGTCGTCAAGAAGCCTCTTCACTCGTCACTGAAGTGGGTTCGCATCTTCAGAGCAAATCATTTCCCCATCTGAGATTCAAACACACATCACTTGTGTCTGGAATTACAGACCGTATATCTGAATTATTCAGGATGACGAATCACTTTCTGTATGACTCTAATGTGCGCACTAATTGGTGACTGTGCTGTAAACAATATCAAGTGCCCATTCATTGACTTGGTGACAGCATTGAAAACTCGTCTGGTAGAATTCAGCAAAGACATCTTCCTTTCGATTTCACTGGCCCGCCGTATCAGAAGAATTCGCAGTATTGACTTTTTAGACACATCCTAGCTCAAAATGGATAATCGGCAACACTAAGAGTGCTATCCTGCAGCCATTTTCTGCTTCTAAGCAATGTGAAGGAAAAACTCCCGCATTTTACCACTGTTTCGTTTTCCTCATTTTCATTCCGTTTCACTTTTTTTCAACTTCAGTTAGAAAAACTACAATTTCAATTTGTTAACGTGCTCAACTGTTAGCACCACTCATCGTTGTAAGCAATTCCACATAGTACGCAACTATTTTCCAATCCTGTGTAATTTTGTTTCGAAGCCTCGTGTTATCTCCACTCACACTTTCGAATTTTCATATCAAGTTGAAAATTATCATCACCTTCGGTGTCTCTTTGTCATTGTGTGGAATTAAGTATTAACTGTATCTATGTACACTTATGTAAATAAATGCAATTGAGTAGCTGCTTCTGAGGATGAAATTGCCGAAACGATAAGGCTGTTTGATGAACTTCTCATTCTTTCCTCTCTCTCTCTCTGATGTTCTTATGGGTGTTTTCTACGATTTGATAGAATTCACTCAGCATAAACAAACATACTCATGACACTGTTTACTCATTACTGACCAACAATTACACGTTCTGCTATTTATTACTTATCCATCCTCATGATTTCCTTTTGTATGCGTCACTGGGGAAAATCTTCCCGTCTGGTTGGCTATATATGCTGTCTTAACGAATATGTGACAAGATGCGCACTCTGTGGACCAATAGAAAGACTGTAGAAGATCTCAATTTCCCAGTTGATTTGTGTCTCATATCACACAAACCTGAAGATATGCAGGAAGAAAATACACAGGTTGGTAGAAGAAGAGGCGGTGAAGACAGGACTTCAGGTGAACAGAAGTGGGGAAGATATCCAAACAACAACAAAACAGTAACAACGACAATAAACACCAGTCGCTATCTGTAGCACAGAGAACATGGAAAAAGATTCGAATGTTTAGTATTAATGTCAAGTAAGTGTTTCTACGTGGTCCAGAGAATCGGAGTGTCATAAAAACCTATCCGAAGGGATATTAGACTCTCATCAGTAGCTGTTTCTTTTTGATTGGTAATGAACATCAGATGGCCAGTCAAAAGGATATGCAACAAGCAAATCGAGCAGCGAGTGAGCCATCCAACAAGTTATTACTCAATTCATATGTGGAAGAAAACACAGGTGAACTGGACATAGTCTGAAGATACATTTAAGTGATATACGACACTTCAAAGCCTCAAATGGAAGCTGATGAAATGTGATGGATGTGGCGTGGATCCAACAATGACATGGAGGCGATTGTGTAAGGAGGGAACGAGAGCTCAACGACCAGTTTCGGAGTTAGTTGGAAGCAACAGGAGAGAATCGAGCAGAATGGGGATGTACCGTGGCAGCGCTGTGTGTTCCACTCAGGATGAAATAATAATAAAGTCTTATACAATTATCCAGAATGTGTACTAGATGCCAACAAGATGCAATTTAATATGAATTCACAACGACAAAATGAAACGCCTCAACACAAATAATTCAACTCACGTTACATAATCACTCTGAGAAATGTTCTCTGTGACAAGACGTAGATACATTGAAAATTCTCCATTCTCATTTGTATCTCCGTTGAATACATATTCTTTGTATTTTGGTAATGTGAAAATCATTAACACCAGTCCCAAAGTTGCTGATGATAAAGCCATTAAAACCTTGACGAGAAAATCGACAATAAAACCATTTTCAATACAAATGAGCAGATAACAGAAAAATGCCGACAGTCGAATAAGATTTTACGCTTGACAAAATGACCATTCACCGAAGTTCACTTAGCTGAGATAAAATACTCACACAACGCTTGCAAATTGCGGTGAGAGGAGTATTCAGGGCAGCATAAGTTCACTGTCTGTCTTCAAAATCACTCCAATTTCAGGCTTTGGAATTAAGGATGGACCAACAATCTTCTCCACGCTTATGGGTATCTACCACTTTCACTGATCCTGTGGAGCCAGTCACATTCAGCGTACAATTAAACAGATATCTTCATCATTGGATTTCTGAACATCATCCTGCGTGATTAAGCAAGGGACAAACAAAGTGCATACACAGCTGTTCAAGCTCATCTTGCACATGTCGAACAAAACGTCCGCGTCAACATGACATTTGGAGTTATCAACTGTAGTCCGACAAATCTTAGTTTTACCTTACAAGTTTGACATTTACACATAGCTGAAGTCGTCAGAATCCACCTGAACAAGCCAAACCTACGTGTTCAGAAGAAACTCTCACAGATACCTTCTTTATCCTGTCCATCATCACTTGATATTAGAAATATGATAATTTCCTCTTCCTCGGATGGATATGCAAAAGTCATTATTGTCTGAACTATCTTTGATTGTCGATTGGTGGATGGTGATTAACAGAAGAATCCAGGATGCGCCATTCTCCCTATTTGGGACTCATCACCTCGATGTACGTCATCACTCACTGAGGGATGCAGGTACATTTAGCTGATGAATCACAAAAAGGAGGAAATTCGCACTCTAGACTCTACTGCTAGTCACCATCCATCAATATACTTCGAATTAAATAACCAGACATCGTTGAAGTGTCTGTACAAGGAGCCGAAATATCAACTTGGGGTCGAGCACTTCCGTCCAATCAATCAACAGGACAATCCAAATTGAATTAATTATCCTCAATTGTCACAGAAATATTCTCAATAATTTTGTTTGATATTCAATTTAGTATTAAGTATGGATGCATATTATCACTGACACATCCATTTCAACTGTAATTCTATGGATCTTACCAACTAGATATTGTGTAAGAACACACCAGTGTTGTCAGTGACAAATACTCTCTACCAGGAGGCGAATGAGAAAGTTATCGAAAAGAATATTCTTTGCACAGCTTCATTTTGTTTTCAAGATTCACTTCGTATTTTCAAAGTCCATTTCATCGTGAACTATCACCATGACTTAGAGAATCATTGAAAGACAGAGCAGCAGTAGATAGGTGTTTCGTTTTATTCAGGTACACTTCAGCAGTGCACATCTATGGAGCCACTAGAGATGGAAGACAGGATGTTCACAATGTGATGTACACATCCATTGACCACTCAGTCACTGGCTTCGAACCCACTGACTCTTAGATTCTCACTTTATTGTAATCAAGTTCAAATATGCATAGATTTCAGTGGTTTCCATAGAAACATACGATTTCATACAAGAGTTCCTTCTCATAAATCTGAGATGAGACGGAACAAACATTAGTGCAGAACAACATGGACCCATTTTATTTTGTTGCTCCTCATCCGCTGACTTTTATCTTTTATGGATTATAAGTTGTGGGCAGCTGATGAGAGCCAGCGAAATCAGATGGATGCATGTTATTCGCCACCAATGTTCGTTCTTTCTCTCCTCAAATATATTACTGCCACATATATATTGTGACCAACTTAATAGTGCTTGCTTATGTGTCAGGATACTCTTCCAACTAGGCAGCCCCTATATGAGTAGGACAGTTTCTACATGAAGATATCCTCCCTATCATATCATAAATTTACACATTTCATATCGCACCTCATCAAGCTGTCAAGACATTCAGCAAGATAATGGACAAAGAATTCATAAGTAACAGACTTGATCTCTCTGTGAATTCATCAACGAGTTTCAGTTGGTTTAGGATGATTGAAATCTGGTGTCATGCAGTGAGTTTGTACGGATGACATCAAGAATCCATCGGGTAATCTCAAGTAAAAATCTGATGGAATATTAAGCTTATCGAGGCAGAAATATGTCAGAATGCGACAAGCAACTCGAGTGGAAATACACAACATTGAGTAGAAACTTCGGAAACAGTAGGCTTCACAGCATGGCATAATAATGAAGTCCTACATCTACGAAAAGAAAGTTATCACAAAGATGGAAAATAACGGGGAAGGGATTTGTTTCATAGACATTTCCCCAACATTTCGTCAACTTATCTGCCTGAGACTTACACCACAGATATTTCTAAACATAGTCTCAATTTTAACGAAATATCTCGAAATCGCTGTTCAGATGACGGAAAACTGAAGAGATTTTCAATTGGTCACATTATTTTTATTACTACTACTATTATTATTTATTCTGTTCCCTTGCGATTCCAGTGGGACTTCAATTTAAAGTTCTGAAGTTTCAGTACTCCTGATGTTCTTTTACGGGTTGTAGTTGCCAGCCTCACTCCCAACATTCCCAACTTACGGGGACATCTACCGGGCTAAACTAGGTAAAAGTGTGAGTTATGTGTAGATAGAACCACGGACCACTTGCTTGGCTGGTCGATGTTCTACCACCGAACCACCGACGCAATTAGGTCACTTAAGAGACGCAAATTCACAACGTATGAGGCCTGAGTAGTTCCAGATTTTAAAGATATCTCAAGGTTAAATTTCACTTTGAACTGTGTATGTAACTTGCTAATCACGAGTGAAATTTATAATTTGAGAATCCCATCCAATGTCTTACTAGTTCGTCAATGCAGCTAACCAGAATTTCGATGGTTTGAAGTGAATCGGCTCTCTCATCAGAGTCAAATTGTGTACACCACTGATGAATGAGGTTGGCCTCAAATGAGCGAAATAACCATCGAATGCTTGAACTAATTCAAATTGGCTGGCTGACAAGGACTACTGGCTGGCGTAAGTGATATCTAACTAGTCATATCAATCAGTCGGTATTATACACAATCATGCATTTATTTAAGAAAGACCTGAGACTTAAAATTAAGCATTCCGAGGAAGGCCGTTGGATACACTTTTACCCGATATCATCCAGAGTTTCGGTGTGTCATTGTAAATATTGAAGAACAAATTTGGAAGAAAAGAGTGTTTTCAAAATGACCGTGAAAATATAAATATGATACGATTTAAGGACAAGTGAAAACGTGGAATCGAATGAACTTGTGACACTATTTTGAGTGGGGAATTTAGAGGGTCGGAGATTAAAGGCAGCCGACAGATGTATGTATAATATATGAATATTTCACAAGAACTGTTTATTCTGAATATTTTTAATTTACGTTTGGAAAATAAAACGATCATTGTTGACATGCAAGTCTTTTGACCTTCACTTACTTATTCGATTGATGTGTTTGCACGGAATCAGTCACAGAATCATTAAACGTTAATCGATAAACATGGTTTCATAGACATGGGCAACAGCATGTTGCTGACTGGCTCACCTAACCAAAACTGTGTACTAAACAAAGTCGGCCTGCTTAAAACTTGGGCTGCCAAAAGTTTTAGTTATTATGTGCCATGATTCACAAAACTCTGAGACTGAAATGGAGACGCCGACTTGAACACAACCTCCTTGTTCATGAGTGTCACTTCACTGAGCCAACAACATTAAACGAGAGTCACCTGTTTCCTCAACCCGCACTACTTAAACAAATACACACAAAGACGTGTCACGGAAAGTATGTTTCACGCAACAATGTATAATTCAAACAGTCACCATGGCTACAGTTGTCAATCAGTCTGTAATCATGATCAATGAAATAATATGCACATATTTTGTTGCCCAATTCTGATTTGCTTATCTTCAGACTGGACATCGATTGATTATGTTGCCATATTACGTATAATTTCTCCACTTAACTTTGTCTCAATCGATGAAAATGTAACCTCTAGTGATGCCATGTACTCTCGCGAGTATTCAAAGAGTTTCCAGACTCCTTATTCGCCACTTTCCACTGGACTTCATGAAAAGCATAGTCGTGGGTGACAAGGTATCCCAATGCACGACATAACTGTTCCTGAATCAAACACATCGGTCTCAAAATGTACTCATCAACTTTTCACAGTTGGATTTCAACCCAATGTTGTGGATATCTCTAGAGTGAGAAAGAAGAAATATCACAATGGATTGGTTTGCACCTCAAGTCAGACAGCATTGTGTCACACAACCTACCGTCAATTAGAATTTTGTCTGAAGATCCTGAACAAAGAGAAAATATCTTACAATAATCTTGGCTAAAAATGCTATACACCATATAAATACTGTCCAGAATAAAGTTTCTATTAATACTTATATCGCATTGATAACTCTACTAGATTTATAGAGGGAAGGACACAGTCGTTTCTAATCTCTCTTGTTTATTTCTCTCAGGTGAAATTTCTTCCTCCCTACACAAAACAATTATTGTAATGAATCCATTATGGATAAGATTTTATTTTGATAAATCACACAGTGTAGTACAGTTATATTAACTGATGACGTTTCGAGCACAATCTATTGCTCATAATCATATCAAGTTACTCACACAACTTCTTTCCTTCATTTATATACATGTGTGGAATCGATCAGATATTGGAATAATGTACATTCAGAAATAATAATACGAGTGTTATTGATCAGTTACAATTAGATGGGAAATAAGACGAGTGTTTTTATAGTCAAAATAAATAAGTAACTTGTTAGAATGTTGTGATGTATGTGAATTGAAATAGATTATTAAGATTATTTATTATTCTCTTCGGATTTGACTGGTGGTAATAATATCCTCCATATTTCCGGTATTTGCACTGGGTCACTTCTATTGAGCATATGTTGGGTGTAGGCTGGATGAAGCAGGATTCAGTAATCAATCTCTATCTCCAACTACCTATATTACTTCTCAGAATTTTAACCCTCTCCCACCCTATTGTGTGGTTGTTTGTTAGTGCGTGAAGTGCAATGAGGCGTTGGGTACTTTCCTGAATTACTTATCTTCGTGGGGTCAACCATCCTTACCTTAGCTAAAATCTTATGTCCCGACAATCCCGACTACCCCCGATCTACTAGCCTGACCGATGTAGTTGACCTCACAGTCATTGCAGGGTATTTTGTAAATTATATTATTTTGTCTATTTGGGTCAGCAGTGTCCTTTAACCTACATAGCTTGTCCCTGAGCGAGTTTGTAGGTTTCAATGCCACTGTAATTCCTGCTTTATTAATAATCCTACGTAAGGAGAGTCTCAGATGTCCCCTCCTTATATGGCAAACTACTGTAGAGGACTTATGTTCTCTCCTCTTTATGTTGTCATTATTAGTTTCAAAATTATTTTTGTTGTTGACCTTTTCTGATCTTCCTAATGAATTTTATAGGATAGTTATTTGATACCAACGCTTCTTCTTCTATCTGTTTCATTTCATCATTTAGGTCTTTTCTTGTACTACTTAGTGCTACTGCTCGGTTTGTTAAACACTTAACTAAGCCTGCCTTAACAGTTAAAGGATGAGATGAATTAAAGTCTAAATATCTATTAGAATGCGTTGGTTTTTTATAAACACTAGTGTGTAGTTTGCCTTCTTCTATTCGTTTTATTTTACAATCTAACACCATGGCTAATTCTCCTTGTTCATTTTCCGATTCAAATGTGAATTTTATTCCCTCCACTAGTGAGTTTATGTGTGTCAAGAAGCTAGAGATATGTTCTGTTTTTAACACTGTGAGTGAAAGTCTCATCCACATATCTCCACCATATTTTTGGAGTAGGATTAAACGTATTAAGTGCCATATTTTCCCAGCTATCCATAAATATATCTGCTACGATAGGGGATATTGGTGATCCCATTGCTACACCTTCTGTTTGTCTATATATTTTGCCTTGGAATTTAAAGATAGTAGATGTGAGACATAACTGAATTCCTAAAATATTTATCCCCTCAATGGGCAGCTTCGTCCTATGGGTGGGATCAGGATCTACACTTAGTTTTTTTTTAACTGCTTCTAAGGCCATACTGATTGGTATATTAGTGCAAAGACTAGTTATATCAAAACAAACCATTGTTTCCTCATTCTCTAGTTGAATGTCATTTAGTTTCCTTTTTCATATCATATGAATTAGTTAGTCTACAGTTTGAACGATTTCTAATGGGGCATAATATTAGAGCTAAGTGTTTTGATAATTCATAAGTTGGGGTATTTCTGAAATCTACTATTGGTCGTATGGGATAACCTGGCTTATGTATTTTAATAGTACCTTTGTATTCTACTAGCATTATTAGTTTTAAGCATTAAATTAAACCATTTAGACTCACCCAGTGACAGATTCATTCTGCGTATTAATCCCGCTGTAGATTTCTCAATCTTATTCATTATTGTATCTACAGGCTTCTTAATTTCCTCATATGGACCCGTCTGAATATGTTCAGTGACTTTCTTGATATAGTCAGATTTATCCAAAACTACGGCAGAGTTCCCTTTGTCAGCTTTTGCGATGACAGTGTTTTTTATCCTGTTCTAACAGGTTACTTATTATGACTATAAAAACACTCGTCTTATTTCCCATCTGATTGTATCTGATTGATAACACTCATATTATTATTTCTGAATGTACATTATCTTATATTGATTTTCATTCAAATATGTAGTGAATTCCACACATGAATATAAATGAAAGGAAAATGTTGTGTGAGTGAGTAACTTGATATGATTATGAACGGCAATAGTTTGTGCTCAAAACGTCATCAGTTAATATTACTGTGTAACACTTCCTGACTTATCAAAATAAAATCTTATCCATAATGGAGTTATACTGTACCACAGTGCCCAAGTTTTATACTTATATCAAGAAGTGTAGATAAGTTTGATCGAGAAAAAGGACAAACTACAGGGGTAAACTGATAACTAATCAACCACTCATATGAACCGTTTAGCCAGTTGTACAGCTATTTGATACTGGTCTTTTGTGTACAGAAATAGACAGTAGGGAATATTTACTTGTCCTGAAATGGATCAACAAGGATCAAACCACTAATCGGATATTGTCACAGTTTCAGGTGATTAAAATTTCACTGGAATTCGGAGACACAAAAGTGAAATAGAAACATGCTGTGAACTACGGTTTGACACATGTAATCAGAAGAATGTTACAGTGTCCAGAATTACCTGCCAGCTGCTAAGTCAAGTTGTTCTAAATTTCTATGAAATTATGTGTAGTTTATCTAGGCCTAGTCAGAAATTTAGGTTACCTTGATCAGGCTGGCAAGCAGGCAATTTCCGGTCGGCGATATTACTTAGTGGCATGTGTCAAATGTGATAGGATGCTTCACAATCTCAAGGTTTGTTTACAAGGTTAGAAGAGGACTGCATGGAATGCGCACTCTCCCGTGATGTGATGTCATGGAGAATTGACATTTCAATTTCGGAGCATTCACCAACAAAGTGGAATGTAGGGATTCTATTTCAGACAGATGCACTCCTAAACCTCGTGTACTTCGTAATGAGTTTGGAAAAGAGAAGACGTTTGCTGTGCAGCCAGAAGCCAAACCACCGCTAACTGAAACTACAGAGCCTGAGGTCCTTCGATCCGCTCGGAACTCACGAGATTTGAAAATGACACCTTATACAGCTGAGAAATTCATTGAATTGTCTGCAATTATTTCGTCAAATATCTCACTCTAAATCCAATTTCACACGGAAATACTCGTTAAATTTTGCCTTAGGGACGATGAGACGTGAGTTCGACTATCACAATTAATTCACGTACATCTACATGATGGCCAACAAGATAGAAAAATTGCGTCTCTTGGACTCCACAGTGAAAGACAGTCAGCCAAATGACACCATGTTAACTGCCACACATCATCGAGACTCCCATGACAACAGCTGATTTGTGAACAGCGATCCAGCATTTCACTTACAGATAAATCAACCAACGAGAGAATCAAAGTAACTCGAAATGCTATCACAAAATGGACAATTTCAAATATTTGTGAAGCTGATAGTTCGAAAATTGCTGTTGGACACTAACGGAAGTGAACAAATAAAATACAATGTCATTCTCCACCTACACCTTAACTCTAAATGATCTACAAAAAGTGTTAAAACTCACACAGAAACCTTCATTCGAAGTTCAACACAACCTCTCCTCCTATTCTAATGTGAAGACTCTGATTTCCACATAACAGACGACATGTTTGCGATTTCAGTGCAGTATATAGTTAAGTTGAATCTTAACATGAGTGATCGAATAAGGAAATTCAACTACAGGACTTGAAGTAAATCAGCATACCAATGCATCTGTAACTTAACTTCTATGGCCCACTCATCCATTAATATCACCCAGATGGATTTCTGATTTTACTCACACAAATCCGCCTGTCCCACACGACTGCTCTCATCAAGGTCATTGAATTGATCATCTGATTACAGCATTATAAACTGACTCTCCAGGGTTGAATTACCACATACATTTAAAATTTAACGTCAGAGGTAATGAACTAAACATGTGAGGGTGAGAAGAACAGTGTTCTCAGAAGAAAGCCTTGCATCGAAATGGGGAAAACAACCACCTCCGGTGCCAAACTTAATATCCTACAAATCAAAGGTAGGCAGCGTCAATATAAATAGGAGTGGAGAGAACGAATAATTGAGCAGAGAGCCAGTGATCTCTAATCGACCCAATGAAACAACCACAAAAATAACACTGAAGCAATGACCAACATCATTTCAACAGAAGCTCATACAAAAATGGATCAAACACAAAAACATCAGATTATCAGGTCACAACCAGATTATGTCTACTTACAATATATCTGCGCACTATCAACCAAAGTCATCAGTAATTCCATTATGGGTAAATTTTATTTTGATAGAGTCTCACAGTGTTATACAGTAATATTTACTGATGACGTTTCGAGCACAATTTATTACTCATAATCATATCAAGGTGATCACACGACTTCCTAAATTCATTTATATAGTTCCATTGTTTTTCACTTGATTTTCACTTGATTTGATTGGTAGTATTATTTTCCATATACTACCAATCAAATCAAGTGAAAATCAAGTGAAAAACAATGGAACTATATAAATGAATTTAGGAAGTCGTGTGATCACCTTGATATGATTATGAGTAATAAATTGTGCTCGAAACGTCATCAGTAAATATTACTGTATAACACTGTGAGACTCTATCAAAATAAAATTTACCCATAATAGAATTACACACTACCACAGTGCCCAAGTTTTATTCTTATATCAAAGTCATCAGTCACCATTCCTCTGCATACGAAACACGGAGGACCATACTGATGATGAATTCAATTCTTGAGAGGACTCCTAACGTCCACAGATTAAGGGTCGAAATTCCATTCACTCATACGAAGTCATCAAAAAAGCTACCTAGAAATTCACTAATATCTCTACGAACTCAGAAATTCAAACATTAAATGAAAACATATATGTAAAATATATATATGCACACAAGTATACATAAAATACACTCACATAATTACGATGTCGCGTATGATCCACAATCATACCACAGACTATTCTTGAAATACTTGAACATGCATTAGCGAACAAGGCAGTTATCCCCAACTGGTAAGACGTCAATCCGTGTGTAGCGAGTATCGGATTCATATAGACGAATAAAGCCGAGATAACTAGTACGTTTATTTTGTTGTTGTGTTATTTTCAAAAAAAGAAAACAAAATGCAGACTTACCACAGAATTGGAAAAAGTAATTCATCTTAACTGCAATCAATTGTTTATTGATCTCTTTGCACAGATTCCTCATGCTTTCGTGTTTTGATAATACTAATAAGAATGACAATAATGATACTGATAATAGTAATAATAACGACTGTTCCTGTTATTATCCACGCGTTATTACAGGGAAGACAAACTCAGTCTTTCCAGGGGTGAATAAACATTGACGATAGAACCAACAGAGAAACAAACTTGCCACGCTTTTCTCCCAATATACTTGAATACGTCTCACAGAGACAGCCAGTCAATCACAATTTCAAATCTCCTCACACAGTTGGTTTATTACGATTTTGTTATCCATGTTAAGAGAGAAGTTGTATTCACATCAGATGTTCTAATGCCAGGCTGTTTACAAGGTTTACAGAGATGAAATCTCCGTGGATAGCAATTGCGATAATCTACTCGAAAATACCTCGCCTAAATATATTTATTCTAAACGTTATTAACTGTGTCAATTGACACAGTGTGATTAGTCAGATTCTGCTTACACTGACTGACCTTAATATAAATTAGGCAATCACAACGTCTAGGCTAATATTCTATCGGTTTGAGAAAAAAATACCACCCACTTAAAATGAATGTCAAGGTGAAATCATCAGATGATTTCAACCAATCACAACGCTCCTCCATTTTAAGGTGTCTTTCCTCGTCATCCAATCAACGTAGTTGACATTTATACACACACTAATCCGAATTATGTGATATCTCTCTCCCTAACCACTTAGCCTACGTTATAAATCTAATTATAATGTCTGTAATTCGGATTTACGCATTTCTTAATGTTCAGAAGTAAAAAGTCAACTCGAATATTCCTTTCACTTCCGTCTACAATAATATTTTTACATTGCGTAATATGTGTGTGTCTTCAAGATAGAGAAAAAGAGAGAGACTATTTAGTGGAAACTGGAATTTCTTTATTCTTGCTTTGTTGAAATTACTTGATTTATTGTAGTGGAAATGTGGAAATATGCGTAAAGGATGGATAGTTGTTATCTTCATTCAGTTAAATAAATCGTTAAAGGATCTGAAACTTGAAGTGAACTAGATCGATAAATAAATAAATAAATCGTGATTGTGGTGAGAAGCGAGAAGGCAGGAATACATGAGGCCGAGGAGAAGACTGTAGAAGACTTTGGGTCCATCTAATTTAGGTAAAAAGCGATATATTCTAGAATGAAGTGACTAAGAAGTCGGCTGTACATGAAATGATACTGCTCAAATAAGTGAAATAGATGGTCTCCTTCAAATTTCCCCCGTTAGTAATGATTGTTACTTGCTGTTGTTGGTTAATTATCTTCATCGCCACTTCATTCCTGTTTTTGAGGTTTTTTCCCACAAATTGTTCGTTTCCACTTGCAGATCATCGAGTGTGTATGACATGAAATATAAACTGACCATGGAGCGCAAATCTCCTACAATCTTCTCCTCGGCCTCATGTATTCCTGCCTTCTCGCTTCTCACCACAATCACGATTTATTTATTTATTTATCGATCTAGTTCACTTCAAGTTTCAGATCCTTTAACGATTTATTTAACTGAATGAAGATAACAACTATCCATCCTTTACGCATATTTCCACATTTCCACTACAATAAATCAAGTAATTTCAACAAACAAGAATAAGGAAATTCCAGTTTCCACTAAATAGTCTCTCTCTTTTTCTTTCTCTTGAAGACACACACATATTACGCAATGTAAAAATATTATTGTAGACGGAAGCGAAAGGAATATTCCAGTTGACTTTTTGCTTCTGAACATTAAGAAATGCGTAAATCCGAATTACAGACATTATAATTAGATTTATAACGTAGGCTAAGTATGTGGTTAGGGAGATATCATATAATTCGGATAAGTGTGTGTATAAATGTCAAATACGTTGATTGGATGACGAGGAAAGACACCTTAAAATGGAGGAGCGTTGTGATTGGTTGAAATCATCTGATGATTTCACCTTGACATTCATTTTAAGTGGGTGGTATTTTTTTCTCAAACCGATAGAATATTAGCCTAGACGTTGTGATTGCCTAATTTATATTAAGGTCAGTCAGTGTAAGGGGAATCTGACCAATCACAAAGTGTCAATTGACACAGTTAATAACAATTAGAATACATTTAGGCGAGGTGTTTTCGAGTAGATTATCGCAAACGCTGTACACGGAGATTTCATCTGTGTAGGAACAGAGAGTTGATATAACTAAGACCTTGTCAACAACTTCTGATGTGATTACAGCTTCCCTCTAAACACGGATAACAAAATCGGAATAAACCAACTGTCTGAGGAGATTTGAAATTGTGATTGACTGGCTGTCTCTGTGTGAGACGTATTCAAGTATATTGGGAGAAAAGCGTGGCGAGTTTGTTTCACAGTTACTTCCATCCTCAATGTTTATTCACTCCTGGAAAGACTGAGTTTGTCTTCCCTGTAATAACGCGTGGATAATAACAGGAACAGTCGTTATTATTACTATTCTCAGTATCATTATTGTCATTATTATTATAAGTATTATCAAAACACGAAAGCATGAGGAATTTGTGCAAAGAGATCAATAAACAATTGATTGCAGTTAAGATGAATTACTTTTTCCAATTCTGTGGTAAGTCTGCATTTTGTTTTCTTTTTTTGAAAATAACACAACAACAAAATCAAACCAAACAAATTAGTTATCTCGGCTTTATTCGTCTATATGAATCCGATACTCGCTACACACGGATTGACGTCTTACCAGTTGGGGATAACTGCCTTGTTCGCTAATGCCTGTTCAAGTATTTCAAGAATAGTCTGTGGTATGATTGTGGATCATACGCGACATCGTAATTATGTGAGTGTATTTTATGTATACTTGTATGTATATATATATATATTTTGTACATATATGTTTGTATTTAATGTTTGAATTTCTGAGTTCGTAGAGATATTAGTGAATTTCTAGGTAGGTTTCTTGATGAGTGCGTATGTGTGAGTGGAATGTGGACCCTTAAGCTGTGGACGTTGAGAGTTCAATTGAATTCATTGTCAGTTTGGTCCTCCATGTTATGTATGCAGAGGAATGGTGACTGATGACTTTGGTTGATAGTGTAGATATATTGTGAGTAGACAGAATCTGGTTGAGACCTGATAATCTGATGGTTATGTGTTTGATCCATTTGCGTATGAGCTTGTGTTGAAATGATGTTGGTCACTGCTTCATTGTGATTGTGGTGGTTGTTTCATTGAGTGGAGGAGATCACTGACTCTTTGGTCAATGATTCGTCTCCTCCACTTCCATTCCATTTTCGCCACAAACACGCGCACATACATGCCCTCTCAGATATTCCCAGTATTTTGAGCCTATATCTTCTGATTTCCTTTGCAATGTGAACAGCCTTCTGAGCCAGCTTCAAACATCGTTGCATGGTTATTTTGCTCTCATCGAAGGTAGACTCATCGGCTGACTGTCTTGACGAATTCTGTCACCAGCTTGCATCGATTCTTTCTTTGGATTCCGATGGAGCATAGGTTCATTGTTTGTATATTCGTTTCCTTGCTTTGAGGTTATTCTAGGAGCCTGATTGTTTTGCTTTTGTATGTTTTCCAGCGCCGTGCTGAAACCTCATTCTTATTTCGAAGCTGCTACTGACTAGTAAACTGTGTGATGCTCTATTGCCTGTTCGTTCTATCTAATATTATTTCAGAATTGTGCAGTTTATTCGCACGTCTCCTGAGCAGGTGACCACGTTGCGAGCTCGACTGACAGAATTCAGTCAACATGACTTTGTGCTAGACACATAGGATTGTCTATTCCATAGTGATCAGTCAGTGTGACATGGAAACTCTAGGGAGTGAACGAGAAGAATATAAACAGAACAAGTGTTGTGTAGACGACTAATATATAGATGTCTCGTCCTCAATAGTAGGTGAATTAGAATGAACGTCGCTTGATAAGGACGTCACTCTTTACGACTAACTTTCTGACACATGATTCTTGCCTTCTGAGGGTAATTTTAGGTTCGTAGATGATTTATGTGAAGTTTTGAAAGCTGTGGATTAATTTGGCGATAATTTAAAATTGTATCAGAGGAGGAAACTATAAATATGTGCTTTAATTTCATATTGACTGCGGTGTTATTGCACAGTGTCATTTGTCCTATCATTGTTGATATGTTTTTTGTCGACGCTACCTACTTTAGACGTGTAGGATATGAGGTGTGACAACGGAGGTGGTTTTTTTCCCTATTTCGATGCAAGGCTTTCTTCTGAGAACACTGTTCTTCTCACCCTCACATGTTTAGTTCATTACCTCTGACGTTAAATTTTAAATGTATATGGTAATTCAACCCTGGAGAGTCAGTTTATAATGCCGCAATCAGATGATCAATTCAATGACCTTGATGAGAGCAGTCGCATTAGACAGACAAATTTGTGTGAGTAAAATCAGAAATCCATCTAGGTATTAATAATGGATGAGTGGGGCTTAGAAGTTAAGGTTCAGATGCATCGGTATGCTGATTTACTTGAAGTCCTGTAGTTGAATTTCCTCATTCAATCACTCCTCTGAAGATTCAACTTAACTATATAGTGCACTGAAATAACTAACATTTCGTCTGTTATGCGGAAATCGGAGTCTTCACATTAGAATCAGAGGAGAGGTTGTGTTCAACTTCGAATGAAGGTTTCTGTGTGAGTTTCGACCATTTTTGAGATAAAATTAAAGGTGGAAATAAGCTGTAGGTAGACAAAGGCACCTTACTTTATCTATTCACTTCCATAAGTGTTCAACAGCAATTGTCGAATTATTAGTTTCACAAATATTTGAAATTGTTCATTTTGTGAGAGCATTTCGAGTTACTTTGATTCTCTCGTTGGTTGATTTATCTCTAAGTGAAATGCTGGATCGCTGTTGACAAATCAACTCTTATCATGGGAGCCTGGATGATGTGTGGCAGTTAACATGGTGTCATTTGGCTAATTACCTCTGACTGTGGAGTCTCAGTGGCGCGTACTGTCTAGCTTGTTGCTCATGATGTGGATGTACCTGAATTATCAGTGGGTGGTCGTATACCCAGTGGAAGTTGAACTCAGTACCCATCGTCCTGAATGCCACATGAAATGAGTATTTCCGTGTAATATCGTATTTAGAGTGAGATAATTGACGAAATAGTTGCAGACAAGAGAAACAATTTCTTAGCTTTATAAGGTGGCATTTTTCTGATTCCTTCCATTCCAAGTGGATCGAAGGACTTCAAGCTGTGTATTTTTAGTAGTAGTGGTATTGTATTCACAGGATGAGGTTGCTGGCTACACCGGATACCCCTTCTCTTTTCCAAACTCATTACCAAGTAGACGAGGTTTAGGAGTGCGTCGGCGTGGAATAGATTCCCTACATCCCACTTGGTTGTTGAATGCTCGAAAAGTGAACCGTCGACGCGCCAAGACATTATCAGACGATGGAGCGTGCGTATATTGTGCAACCCTCTTCTAACCTTGTACACAACCTTTAAATGATATCAAATCCCATCACACATATAGATAATTATGGACATCAGTTTGATTAGGATAATGTCGAAATTTTAGACAGAGTAAACAGCAAAAGTGCAGTCAGGGAATTCCTAGAAGACGGGTACTCAAACGAATAAGCCAGCGATTAACAAACACGTTAATATAGACCAAATATACCAACTAATAAAAAGTAAATCATGTGACCAGAAAGTTTAAAATCCAAGTCAATAGAAAATGATCAATACATATGTGAAGATGGTTACCGGGATACGCAATTCTATTATTATTCATGAAAAAATTTAAATCAGTCCGCTTTATGCTACAAAATTGCGCTGAAGATTTTGTCTAGAAGGACAACCAAAGCTCTGCAACTAAACTAACCAGCTCAGAGAACACTTTTAATTGCAAAACTACTAATTAATATCGGCGACCGGAAATTGCCTGCTTGCCAGCCTGATCAAGGTTACCTAAATTTCTGATTACGCCTAGATAAACTACACATAATCTCATCACAAAATCAGTGAGACGGCTGTTCGATGTGTAGAACATCTTGACTTGGCAGCAGGCAGGTAATTCTGGACACCGTCACATTCTTCTGATTACATGTGTCAAACAGTAGTTCACAGCATGTTGCTATTTCACTTACTGTCTCCCAATGCCAGTGGAATTTTAATCACCTGAAACTGTGACATTGGCCAATTACTCGTTCGATTCTTGTTGATTCATTTCAGGACAAGTAAATATTCCCTACTGTCTATTTCTGTACACAAAAGACCAGTATCAAATAGCTGTACAACTTGCTAAACAGTTGACATCACTGGTTGATTAGTTATCAGATTACCCCTGTAGTTTGTCCTTTATCTCGATCAAACTTATCTACACTTCTGTCTATTACAGTTCGCTACGTTAGTTAAAGTGAGTGATGACCAGTTATGCACACAGCCTTTACCAAAATATTATGGTGAATGAGGTGTTGGGAGTTCATCTCGACTGCAGAGAAGCATTCAGCAGCAAGAGAATTCATAGTGTAAATGGTGTTTTTATTTGATCTCAGTGACTAAATGTTCGACGCATTGGTCTCGTATTCTTGGGGTCCTCGGGATCATGTAATACATACGCACTGTTGAGCAGTCCGGAAACTAGAAAATAGCTGCTATCCCGTACTAGCTGGCTTTTAGTTCATTCGTTGTTTAGTGACAGTGTTCTCACCAGTGATGAAGGAGGTCTGGGATCGACTTCGAGCTGACCCACTGCTAAACCTCATCTCGCTTATTATCTCGTGTTCAGCGAGGTATATAAAGAAGGGATGTTGGGCATGAGGGTGATTACTGTAACCCACAAAACTTCAAAGTCTGAGGCATCAACTTCCACTCGGAACTCAAGGAGTGACCAAAACCCAGTCGTTGGCTAATAAATAATTAATTGCCTCACTTATTATATCACCATCATTACAATTGTTGTTTTGTGTAGGAATGAAGAAATTTCACTCAAGAGAAATAAACAAGAGAGATTAGAAATGGCTGTATCCTTCTCTGTATTAATCTTACAGAGTTATCAAGGTGATATATGTAATAATAGAAGCTTTATTCTGGACAGTATTTATACAGTGTATAGAATTTTCAGCTGAGTTAATTGAAGGATATTTTCTCTCCGTTCAGGATCTTCAGACAAAATTCTAATTGATGGTAGGTTGTGTGACACAATACTGTCTGACTTGAGGTGCAAACCAATCCATTGTGATATTTCTTCTTTCTCACTCTAGAGATATCCACAACATTGGGTTGAAATCCAACTGTGAAAAGTTGAGGAGTACATTTTGAGACTGAAGTGTATGACTCAAAAACAGTTATGTCATGCATTGTGATACCTTGTCACCCACGACTATGCTTTTCATGAAGTCCAGTGGAAAGTGGCGAATAAGCAGTCTGGAAACTCTTTCAATACTCGCGAGAGTATATGGTATCACTAGAGGTTACATTTTCATCGATTGAGACAAAGTGAAAGGGAGAAAGCATATGTAATATGGCGACATAATGATCGTTGGTCAGTCTGAAGATAAGCGAATCAGAATTGGGCAACATAATATGTGCCCACTATTCTATTGATTATGATTACAGACTAATTGACAAGTGTATCCATGGCGATTTTTTGAATTATACGTTGTTGCGTGGAACATACTTTCCGTGACACGTCTTTGTGTGTATTTGTTTAAGTAGTGCGGGTTGAGGAAACAGGTGACTCTCGTTTAATGTTGTTGGCTCAGTGAAGCGACACTCATGAACAGGGAGGTTGTGTTCAAGTGGGCGTCTCCATTTCAGTCTCAGTGTTTTGCAAATCATGGCACACAATGATGGAAACTTTTGGTTAACCTAAGTTCTAAGCAGGCCGACTTTGTTTAGAACACAGTTTTGGTTAGGTTAGCCAGTCACCGACATGCTGTTGCCTATGTCTGTGAAACCATGTTTAACAAATACCATAAAATGATTCTGTGACTGATTCCGTGCAAACACGTCAATCGAATTAGTAACTGAAGGTCGAAAGACTTGCATATCAACAATGATGGTTTTATTATCAAAACGTAAATTAAAATAATTCAGAATAAACAGTTCTTGTGAAATATTCATATATTATACAGATATCTGTCGGCTGTCTTTAATCTCCGAGCCTCTAAATTCCCCACTCAAAATAGTGTCACAAGTTCATTCGATTTCACGTTTTCACTTGTCCTTAAATCGTATCATATTTATCAATGTATTCACGGTCATTTTGAAAACACTCTTTTTCTCAAATCGCTCTTCAATATTTACAATGAAACACCGAAACTCCGGATGATATCGGGTAAAAGTGTATCTATCGGCCTCACTCGGAATGTTCAATTTCGAGTCTCAGGTCTTTCCTAAGTGTGTAATACCGACTGATTGATATGACTAGTTAGATATCACTTACATCAGCCAGTAGTCCTTGTCAGCCAGCCAATTTGAATTAGTTCAAGCATTGGACGGTTATTTCGCTCATTTGAGGCTGACCTCATTCATCAGTGGTGTACACAATTTGACTCTGGTGAGAGAGGCGATTCACTTCAAACCATCGAAATTCTGGTTAGCTGCATTGTCGAACTGGTAATACATTGGATGGGATTCTCAAATTATAAATTTCACTCGTGATTAGCAAGTTACATACACAGTTCAAAGTGAAATTTAACCCCAGCTATCTTTAAAATCTGTAAACTGCTCAGGCCTCATACGTTGTGAATTTGACTCTCTTAAGTGACCTATTTTTGTCGGTGTTTCCGTGGTAGAACATCGACTAGCCAAGGGAGTTGTCCGCGGTTCTATCTACATCTAACCCACATCCAACAGCTCTCCATCAAGGTATATCATAAACCTGGTATGACTTGATCGCATTATCTGAACAGCGATTTCAAGATATTTTGTTAAAATTGAGATTATATTTAGAAATATCTGTGGTGTAAGTCTTAGGCAGATAAATTGACGAAATGTTGTGGAAATGTCTATGAAACAAATCCCTTCCCCGTTATTTTCCATCTTTCTGATAACTTTACCTTCTTAGATGTAGGACTTTATTATTATGCCATGCTGTGAAGCCTACTGTTTCCGAAGTTTCTACTCACTGTTGTGTATTTCCACTCGAGTTGCTTGTCGCATTCTGACATATTTCTGCCTCGATAAGCTTAATATTCCATCAGATTTTTACTTGAGATTACGCGTATCGACGGATTCCTCATGTCATCCGTACAAACTCACTGCATGACACCAGATTTCAATCATCCTAAACCAACACTAAAACTCGTTGGTGAATTCACAGAGAGATCAAGTGTGTTGCTTATGAGTTCTTTGTCCATTCTCTTCCTGAATGTCTTGACAGTTTGATTAAGTGTGCGAAATGAAATGTATAAATTTATGATACGATAGGGAGGATATCTTCATGTAGAAACTGTTCTACTCATATAGGGGCTGCCTAGTTCAAAATCTTGCTCACAATGAACCAAACAGAATCGGGAACAGATTTCACTCCGAGGTCGTTTTGGGTAAAATGCCTTTTTCTCGGATTAAAAGAATAACACTGCACTGTGACTCATCCGAAATTCGAAGAGTATCCTGACACACAAGGAAGCACTATTAAGTTGGTCACAATATATATGTGGCAGTAATATATTTGAGGAGAGAAAGAACGAACATTGGTGGCGAATAACATGCATCCATCTGATTTCGTTGACTCTCATCAGCTGCCCACAACTTATAATCCATAATAAATAAAAGTCAGCGGCTGAGGAGCAACAAAATAAAATGGGTCCATGTTATTCTTCACTAATGTTTGTCCCGTCTCATCTCAGATTTATGAGAAGGAACTCTTGTATGAAATCGTATGTTTCTATGGAAACCACTGAAATTTATGCATCTTTGAACTTGATCACAATAAAGTGAGAATCTAAGAGTCAGTGGGTTCGAAGCCAGTGACTGAGTGGTCAATGGATGTGTACATCACATTGTGAACATCCTGTCTTCCATCTCTAGTGTGGCTCCATAGATGTGCACCACTGAAGTGTACCTGAACAAAATGAAACACCTATCTAATGCTGCTCTGTCTTTCAATGATTCTCTAAGTCATGGTGATAGTTCGCGATGAAATGCACTTTGAAAATACAAAATGAATCTTAAAAATAAAAGAAAGCTGTGCAAAGAGTATTCTTTTCGATAACTTTCTCATTCGCCTCCTGGTAGAGAGTATTCGTCACTGACAACACTGGTGTGTTCTTACACAATATTGAGTTGTTAAGATCCATAGAATTACAGTTGAAATGGATGTGTGAGTGATAATATGCATCCATGCTTAATACTAAATTGAATATCAAACAAAATTATTGAGAATATTTCTGTGACAATTCAGGATAATTAATTCAATTTGGATTGTCCTGTTGATTGATTGGACGGAAGTGCTCGGCCACAAGTTGATATTTCGGCTCCTTGTACAGATGCTTCAACGATGTCTGGTTATTTAATTCGAAGTATATTGGTGGATGGTGACTAGCAGTAGAGTCTAGAGTGCGTAGTTTTACCCTGTTTGGGATTCATCAGCCAAATGTACCTGCATCCCCCAATGAGTGATGATGTACATCGAGGTGATGAGTCCCAAATAGGGAGAATTGCGCATCCTGGATTCTTCTGTTAATCACCATCCACCAATCGACAATCCAGCGGAGGAAGAGGAAATTATCAGATGATGGACAGGATAAAGGAGGCATCCGTGAGAGTTTCTTCTGAACACGTAGGTTTGGCTTGTTCAGGTGGATTCTGACGACTTCAGCTATGTGTAAATGTCAAACTTGTAAGGTAAAACTAAGATTTGTCGGACTACAGTTGATAACTCCAAATGTCATGTTGACGCGGACGTTTTGTTCGACATGTGCAAGGTGAGCTTGAACAGCTGTGTATGCACTTTGTTTGTCCCTTGCTTAATCACGCAGGATGATGTTCAGAAATCCAATGATGAAGATATCTGTTTAATTGTACGCTGAATGTGACTGGCTCCACAGGATCAGTGAAAGTGGTAGATACCCATAAGCGTGGCGAAGATTGTTGGTCCATCCTTAATTCCAAAGCTTGAGTTCGGAGTGGTTGTGAAGACAGACAGTGAACTTCTGCTGCGCTGAATACTCCTCTCACTGTAATTTGCAAGCGTTGTGTGAGTATTTTATCTCAGCTAAGTGAACTTTGGTGAATGGTCATTTTGACAAGCGTAAAATCTTATTCGACTGTCAGTATTTTTCTCCATATCTGCTTATTTGTATTGAAAGTGGTTTTATTGTCGATTTTCTCGTCAAGGTTTTAATGGCTTTATCATCAGCAACTATGGGACTGGTGTTAATGATTTTCACATTACCAAAATACAAAGAATATGTATTCAACGGAGATACAAATGAGAATGGAGAATTTTCAATGTATCTACGTCTTGTCACAGAGAACATTTCTCAGAGTGATTATGTAACGTGAGTTGAATTATTTGTGTTGAGGCGTTTCATTTTGTCGTTGTGAATTCATATTAAATTGCATCTTGTTGGCATCTAGTACACATTGTGGAAAATTGTATTAGACTTTATTTATTATTATTTCATCCTGAGTGGAACACACAGCGCTGCCACGGTACATCCCCATTCTGCTCGATTCTCTCCTGTTGCTTTCAACTGGCGCCGAAACTGGTCGTTGAGCTCCCGTTCCCTCCTTACACAATCGCCTCCATGTCATTGTTGGATCCACGCCAAATCCATCACATTTCATCAGCTTCCATTTGAGGCTTTGAAGTGTCGTATATCACTTAAATATATCTTTAGAGTCTTCAGCTGGGTAATGTTCTCTAACAGCTGTTAAAAGGACTCCTATAGAACGACGCATGCACCTAGCTTGGCGGTAGCAGGCGGACTGATATATGCCCATTAGAGTGGTAAAATGCGGGAGTTTGTCCTTCACATTGCTTAGAAGCAGAAAGTGGCTGGAGGATAGCACTCTTAGTGTTGCCGCGTATCCATTTTGAGCTAGGATATGTTTGAGAAATAGGAGCTCTTCTTCTCAGTCTAAAAAGTCAATACTGCGAATTCTCCTGATCCGGCGAGCCATTGAAATTATGAGATGAAATCGACGAGATGTCTTTGCTGAATTCTACCGGACGAGTTTTCAATGCTGTCACCAAGTCAATGAATGGGCACTTGATATTGTTTACTGCACAGTGACGAACTAACGTATACACTAGAGCCACACAGGAAGTCATTCGTTATCCTGAATAATTCAGATATACGGTCTGTAATTCCAGACACAAGTGATGTGTGTTGGAATCGCAGATGGGGAAATGATTTGCTCTGAAGATGCGAACCCGCTTCAGTGACGAGTGAAGAGGCTTCTTGACGACTGCCTCCAACTATCTAACACAAAACAGAACTTAAATGACAACTGTTAGATTTCCATCAGTGCGTTGGTGGTGCAGTGATAGAACACTCGCCAACCACGCCTCATGTGGTCCACGGTTCGACCGCCGGCCAACACACTCCCAAAACTCGTCTGGGTGGTGAAGAAGGTAAGTTGAATATGAGAATAACAGCTCCACTACGTAAATACAGAATTACATATACTGAAACTTTGGGAGCTGCAGCCTGAATCCATATGTCCCACCAGGAAGGTAAGGGAGTAGAAATACAGAAAAAAAAGGATTTTCATCACGAACCAACATCAGCTAGAGAGATAAGTGAAAACCAGTGAGCATTAGACAGCTGTTTCGTCCTATCTGAGGTTCATCAATAGCAAACACCCAGTCAATGATGGTTACTGAATGGGTTTCCTTGAGCTGCATATGGAAATCGTGATCCAGCATGGGGTCCACAATGTTAAGATGAAATGGATCTACATGTGAGAACTGCACTATGTAGCGAGTTGACAAAGTGAGAATCCAGGGGTTATTGAATTCCACGCCAAGTTGTTGAATGGTCAACGAACTTAGTTTCGTAACCTGAAGACCCCAGTCTCGATCCCTAACAGTGTCGTGGGTGCATACCGCTGAAAGTTCTGAGGAAGATCGGTCGAAACACTAGACGGTCCGGTGATCCCTGGTTTTCAGTGATGACTCTAGCTGATGTTGCCTGATGAAGACTATTTAACGACTGTTATGAATCTTACCTTGCCAAACTGCCAAAGAAGGGCAACCTAGGCCTGTGCAAGAACTGGCGTAGAATAGTGCTCTTATACCCGCCAAGTAATATATTGTGTTGCATCATCCTGGAGAGAATAAAGAATGCAAAGGATATATTACTCAATCCGCAGGAACAAGCTGGATTCAGGAAAGGTAAATAATGTGTTGATATAATTGCTACTCTACTCATCCTTGTCGCAGAACTAAGCATAGAATGGCAGTCATACCTCTCTCTCTACTTCATCGACTTTGAAAAGGCATTTGACAGACACCGTTTACCGTGAAGTAATTTGGAAACTGCCTCAACACTTTGGGGTACCTCAAGTCTTTGTCAGCCTCAATCAAAAGCTGGTTGGCTATATGACAGTGCCACGTGTCAGGTAATCCACAACGGAAAACTCAGCGAGGCGTTTGAAGTGCACACTGGAGTAAAACAAGTCTGGCTGGCTGCCTATTATCACCGATGATATTCTTAACTGTGTTGGATTGGATTATGCGTCAGACTGCTGGGAGCGAGGAGTCAAGAATGAGCTGGACGATCGATAAGAAGACTTTAGAAGATCTGGATTTCGCAGATGATATATGTCTAATTTCACACACACTCGAAGACTTACAGACAGACAGGCAGGTGAAAACCAACGAAGTGGGTGAAGAGGCTGTCAGCGAAGGCAGGACTGCAGGTGAATACAGAAAAGTGATGAAGATAGCCAACCAACAGGAACAACAGCCGGCACCAATCACGATCAATGGGCGAGATTTAACAGAGGTTGCCTCTTTTACTTATCTGGGAAGCATCGTTTCAACTACAGGCCAGCGGAACGGACAAAGATGTCAAAGCCAGTGAGAATGGGAAAGGCGAAACACGCCTTCGTCAACATTAAACCAGTTCGTGAATCTTCCGCACTCCACCTCAGCATAAAGAACAAGATTCGGTTTTTCAACACTAATGTGAAGTCGGTTCTTCTATACGGACCAGAAACTTGCACTGCGTGTCACGAAGAGCACCTTTAGCAGCTTGTTGCAGACTTTCATCAACAGCTGCCTTCGCTCCATACTGAAGATCAAATATCCAGAAAGAATAAGTAACAAGAAATTATGAAAACAAACCAAGAGGCGTGAGCCGATCGCCCAACAAATATGTAGAAGAAAATGGAGATGGATCGGGCATACAGTGAGGAGGCCGTCGGATGACATCACACGCCAAGCCCTCTAGTGGAATCCAAATGATAAGTAACGGCCGAGTAGGTCGTCTTAAGATGACATGGAGGAGATTGTGTGAGTAAGAGATGAGACAGTTTGGTTGTTGAAGCCCTATGTACCACTCGGAACGCAAGGGAATAATATATAATATATAATGAGTCCAAATTAATTCCTACAAATCCTATAATCTGATGACGTTATCATATTTACCTCTTGTAAATGAATGCAGCTTTCAAAAATGATGACAAAATTGAAGTAGACATTTGAAATCAGAAAGTGAATAGTTAATTTACACTTCTGTGAGAATTTTTCCAGAATAACACTTTGATGAATTCAATGAAAGTTTCTTCTTCTTATTATAAATAAATGATTCTTGAAGACAGAGGCTGTTACGTAATCATTTCGCCATATTGATTACGTAAATTGAAAGGAGAGGAAGTAGAACAGTGAATCAGGGTTGTTTCAAGAGGCAATTTTGAATAACGTGAGAGGAAGTCAACTTGTCAGATTAGAAGTCTGCATGAAGACGGAAAATGAAATGGGCATGAAATGACACTGTCTAAAAATCAAACAGAATTACCGTAAATACAAAAACGTAATCAGCGATAAAATGTCATAAAATAGAATCAAATTCTTCATTATTGTAGTGGAAGATACAAGGCTGACAGTAGTTTCTGTCTGAATCAAGCAAGAGTAAGACAAGTGATTCAACGAAGAGGCTGATTGCGATGAATTCATTTCCTTTACCTAACCAGTCGCATTTATATTCTAATTTCTTGACAAAGGAGAATAGTAATAAAAAGTGATGAAGTGCCTTAATCATACTTGGTAATATTGATTAATGCATAGGAGAAGGAGGGAATTAGAATTACCAAATGAGACAAACAGTTTGATGAATGAATGAGGATGGGCATATTACCTAAGAATTCGAAAGAGTTGAAAAAGAAAAGAAACCAGGTTGATATGAAATAATAAGGTGGGTGACTTCACCGTGAAAGCAGAATTGGTTGGTGATTTTTCTCTTGCATCTAGAGTTCCACTTTCTCCATCTGAATGACTACAGCTTCAGGTATGCTTTGGAGGCGAAAGCGTATTGTCTTCGGTAGGTTGCTCTTTACTTTGTTTGGATAGGGTGTTCAATGTAGACAACAGGCGGGATAGTGTCGCAGAATGGTTTTAGACAGGATACGCGTCGACGGACTAATATACGCAAGTTGAATTTTATTCGTTTAACCCCTACCGCTCCCATGACATGTAGTAGACTTGAACTCTACTTTCATTCTATTGCACGATTTCCAAATACATCCACTTTTGTCAGCGGTCTAAGTGAGGTGATGATCGATTAAAATGCCAAACACTTTTGCATCTTTAAGTCGTAAGCTGTTTGAAAATTCTTCATTCTGTCCGTCCAGTATGTATACTTTGACAAGCGAATATAGATTCACGCAGATGCAGTTAGAGATAACATGAAGAGAGATGGAGTGGATATGTCGACTTTAGGCTGTCTCAGTGAACCATTCATTCTGTAAAGCTCGACTTACCTACCAGCTAGATGAGGCCACTAGAAGAAATAAATACAGAACAGATACTACGGTCAAGATGTGACATATATGTATACATACATATATCATTGTAAACATTATCCAAATGTGATTTTTCTGTCTCATGATATCACATACTACTGATTAGTGTGAGTAGTTACAAACCACCCATGACGACCAGTAATGCTTGTTAGTCAGTCAAAATGAAGTTACGTTAACGCTCGACTGCCCTTTCATTGTTCTGCTGCAAGGATCATCCGTGGTGTACCGGGATCAACTCAGATCAGATGACCGAATTACTTCTACTTTACATTGGAGGTTATTTCTCTCATGTGTTATGAAATCAATGAAAAATCAGGTAGTGAAAGAAGACGGGACATCTGTCTTTAAAGTAAAGTGGAATCGCAGACTCTCAACTAGCATAATGAGTATATTTCAGTTTATTGAAACAACCAGTGGTCTTTACTCCATCAGCGTTTCTAGTAGATGTCTGTCTATGCAGTTGACCATCCTGATTTCAAATGTATTAGCACACTATTAAAAATTGAGAAAATGTACTTCTGCTTGTACA